AAGGAGTCAGCCATGGAGTTGGTACTCCTCTTAGCCCATTGAAACCTTATAGTCATGTTCTGAGTTAGTTGCTTGATTTTCTTTCTTTCATTTGAGAATTTCCACATGCTGGACTCTTCCATCTGCAACCATCTAACAGTCAGTTGGGAGTCATCTTCCACCAACAACTTGCTAATATTCAGCTGCTTAGCCCTTTTGACTCCTACAACTGCTAGGATTTCGGCTCTCAGAGAATCCCCCCAGCCTATAGGTCCTGAAAACATAGCAATAATTCGCCCTTCTTCATTCCTGAAAATACCACCTATGCCTGAAGGGCCTAGATTTCCTTCACTACTACCATCAAAATTCAATTTGATGAAACCCAAGTTTGGTGGAGTCCAAACAGGTCTGATATCACTAGACATAGGAGCTACCGAGCCACTTTTTCCCAGTTTCTAATTGTGTATCCTACTGAATAGGCTTCAAAAAGCTTCAAAGACTTGACCTAATGAGCCACCTTGACATATACAAATTCTATGAGGGCTTCCCTGCTTTTCTCTTTTTCATGAAATAATCTTTGATTTCTTTCTTCCCAAACCGTCCAGCAAACAGCAGCTCTAGCGCATCTCCACAAAATTTTACCTCTTTTCTTTAGACCCCTCACTAAAGTGGAGCTGAACACTTGAAGGGGAGGGCCACCTACAACCAAATAAAGAAAAGAACCAACACCAAATATCTGAAACAAAGGGGCAAGAGACAAGCAAGTGATAGCAGCTTTCACCATTCTTCTTACATAAGATGCACCAGTGTGGGGATAAACACYAATTAGGCCTTTTCTTTTGAAGTAGGTCACAAGTGTTACACTTTTCTAGGATTGCTTCCCAGCAAAAAACACCTACCCTAGGAGGGGTGGGGCTACCCAAACTTCCCGAACTGGAAAAGGAGGCCCAGGTACCGGACTAGACTATGCCAATGCTTTGAAGGAGGAGCAGGAGAAGATACCCGAGGGAACAAGAGACCACACCTGAAGTCCACAATGGAAGGTTCAAGGACTACCTCATCTAAGATTTTAAGTAGATTCGAAATGGGCTCCAACTCAGAATCTCTGAGAGCCCTTTTAAGACCTAAGTTCCAACCAGTAGCGGAATTAGACAAGGTAGCAAATGTTGCTATTGGTTCATTTTTAAACCTAGACAGAGCAAACAAAGAGGGAAACTGCTCTTTCAAGGGAAAATCCCCCACCCAAGTGTGTTCCCAAAAAAGTACAGACAAACCATAACCAAGATCGTACCTGATAAATGGAAGAAAAGACTGCAGGATAGCATGAATCGACTTCCAAGGGGAGGCTCTTGAAGCCCTAGATGATAGTCCCGGATCCCAGCCATCTGCTTCTTGCCCATGAATACCTAAGATTATTTTAGCCCACAAATTTTCTTTTTCTTTGGACCATCTCCATAACCATTTCCCTAAAAGAGCTTCATTCTTCTTCTGCAGATTTGCCAGCCCCAGTCCCCCTTCACTTTTAGGCCTTGTTACTAGATCCCACCTAACTCTATGGTCCTTTCTCTCCTCCCCAGGTTCCTATAAAAAGTCCCTCATTAATTTTTCCAACTCTCTACAAACTCCTTCTAGGATTCTGAACATCGACAAGAAATATACTGGAAGGTTTGCCAAAGTTGACTTAATCAGTGTTATCCTGCCCCCCCCAGAGACAAGTAGTTCTTCTTCCAGGAAGCTAGCCTTTTAGTGAACCTGTCAATCACCAGATTCCAAAAGCTCATTTTTCTGGGATTGTCTCCCAAAGGAAGCCCAAAGTACTTCAGTGGCCAATGAGCTATCTCACATCCTAACACTTGAGTCCTTTCCTCCACCTCTTCCTCATTCATATTAATACCAATCACACAGCTCTTACCTAGATTTACCTTGAGGCTAGTCATTTGTTCAAACACCCTAATCACCATCTTCATATTGCACACCCGGCTAATCTCCTCTCCATCACAAAACAAAATTGTGTCATCTGCAAATTGTAGATGAGTGACCAGAACCCTATCCCTCCCCACTCTCCAACCACTTATCAGATTCTTGGAGTCTGCCCTCTCAATAAGCCTCCCTAGCACTTCAACAATTAGGGTAAAGAGAAAAGGGGAGAGGGGGTCCCCTTGCCTAATACCCCGCACAGCTGAAAAGTAATCCACCACCTTGCCATTTACTAACACAGAATAATGGCAAGTCCTAATGCACCCTTTAATCCACTTGCACCACCTCTGCCCAAAACCACAAGACTCTAGCACTTCCAACAACAGAGAACAATCAACCAGATCATATGCCTTCTCCAAGTCCAACTTACACACTAGCCCTTTCTCACCTCTACTTCTGTAGCCTCCCTCACTCTCATTTGCAATTAAGATTTGGTCCATAATTTGTCTATTCGTCACGAAGGCACCTTGGTTATGGGAGATGATCGAGGGGAGCACCTCTCTAATTCTTCTGGATAGCACCTTGGCAATGATCTTGTAGAGGCTGTTAACCAAACTGATGGGTCTGAACTCTTTAGGATGAGAACCCCCAACCTTCTTCGGTATTAAAGCAATAAAAGTAGAATTCAGGCCTGGGTTTATCACCAAAATTGGAAATTCAAGGCCAATATTTAGTAACCAAATTTGGAAATTTTCATACAGAATTTGCTCAACCAACTATAAAATCCTTTCATCAATGATGACTAGGAACATCGATAAATTCAACACATGCCTAATGAATGTAACAGCATAAGTGCAGTTTGCTGATGCCCTGGTGAATGTCAAAGATCAAAAAAGCTCTTAAAACCATTTCATATGATATCTATCATTGCAATCTCCTCTAAAAAGAATAAGCATAAATCCACCATGCTGCTATTGACTTGGGCAAGTCTCTTATTTTCCTAAAGATTTCAATGAAGACTATTATAAGCTCTGCTCAGCCACATATGACCTTTTCATTTGGTACTCCTTAATTTTTATTTTTTTTTTCAAATTTTCAGATAATGAGTAAAGTCTCCAAGTCTATAACATATACAGGTATGCAAAACAAGATGCATGATAATTGGATAATCACAAAAGAAACATCAATTAGAGTCTTTACAAAGAAATGAAAAGAAAAATGGTCCACTTACTCATAAAACCATCTGTACTGTGTAGGGTTCATCTCATAGAGTTGATTAAGAACAGTCCTTACTGCTTTGTATGTAAAATAGTTGAGTAATTGCTGCAAGCCAATAGATTCTTGGTCAGAGTACAATAGTATGATTGGGAATAATACATTAATCTGAGAATGATACTGATCCAATATTCCCTAAAAAAAAAAAAATTGAAGTCACAATGGAATTAATCAAAGCAAGCAGACTAACAAGTAGAAATGCAGAAATGTCAGAATACTAACTTTCTAGAAATGGAATTCATGCATAGATGTATTTTCTGAAATTAGCCACAAAGATATTCACATGAAGGCAAGCAATGATTTTATATAGAAATTCCTCTAAAGAGAATATGCTATTGTCACATAGGCATACAACAATAACTTGTATCTGAACCAAAATCTTTCAAGAGAGCACATTTAAAAGAAAGAATGGCTACTTGGATATCAACTCCCCACCCTTTCTTGGATGGGTTCATTCTAAGCTATGATATCCAGATACCTGTACAAGGGTGCCATATGGTTTCAGATACTTCAATTTTTAGTGCAAATTTTGTATCCGATACCATATCCGGTGCAAATTTTGAACTTCTGATTCAGTTCACTTTGATGAGATTTGCTCATCTCGAGACTGTCTAGAATTACAACTCATCAAACCCAGATATTAATCGAAGAAGTTGTGCTTAATGAAGCACAGAATGTGTTTTCCAATGGTTGTGAGGTCCTCTATCTCATAGAAAACTAGATTAATTCATCAAAGAAGTTGTGCTTAAAGAAGCACAGAATGTGTTTTCCAATGGTTGTACTGAACTCCACAAGGAACTGTTATGAAGGCTTGGTTTGGAAGGAGTGCAAATACGAATATGTAGAGTGCAAAACACTATATTTTGTATGATTTTGTATGTATTTGCACTGTACATATTTGTATTTGTACTCTTTCCAAACTGAACCGAAAGGTTAGTGAGGAAATATTATTAATTTCCATTTCTCCATAATCAAAATTTTTGAATTGCATAAGAGCTTTGTGAACAAAGAAACCACATTAAAATTGAACCTTAAAAGTTCATAAAAAGCTCATAATAACAATAATGGCCGATTTAGATGGTTTGCTCACCGTTTTAACATCATCAAAGCTATCCTCATACTGTCCTGCAACTTCATTGACGATCACAAGACGCCGAGCCTTTCTCTGTCTCTTCGAACGCTGGTTAACAGAACCTGATATCGCTTTGAATGAAAGACGCGATTCATGCCAGGCATCAATGAATGAGCTGCTCAATTCCAATGTCCCCGGCCGCTTAAATTGTTTCTTACCTGTTAAACTTCTGTACAACCCCAGATCCCCCGAACTCTTGAAATTCATACTAGATGAAGAAAGAACATCTAAACAAAGACATGGGCTAGCATGAGTGTCGACCATAGATGAGCCCACGATTGATAGAGCTCCCACCATCCTCTCACACCCTCAAACAAAGAGCTTCCTGGAAACCACACCAAGATTTCTTCTTTAAAACTGTAATTTGGATCGAAATAAGAGATACCCACCAAGGAAAAATTGCAAACCTGTAGTGGGTATCAACGAAATCCAAAGATCAGTTTTAGAGAATTTAAAGAAGATTCATGAACTGGGTATGGGAAAAATTGCAGAGGGAGAATGAACCTTGAATAAGAAACAGGCTGTGGAGGCTGGGAAGTTGGGATGCAAACGCGTTCTTTCGAGGATCCTTCAACCCTCCTCACCAGACGATTTTCTGAGGTCCAAATGGCTCCTTTCAAAACCTTCACTCATCGAAGCTGACGCATCTCGCCAGTATTCCAATTTGGTGGCTTCTTTTTCCACGTGTCTGACTTTCGTTGGGTTCTGCAGTCGTGCAAGATTCTAATGCCTTGAAGGTTTGAGCATACTTTTCGTGAGGGAAATCCTACGTAAGATTCCATGCGTAGCAAGCAGAGATTCTCGTATAAAGTCAAATAACAGAATACCAACATCAATACCTAAGAACATAAGTTCTCTGATACGAAAGAAGCCACATATCTACTGAACCCCAAAACCCAAAAAAAAAAAAAAAAAAGTAAACAAAAACAAAAGGCCAAAAATATTATTTTTACACAAAACAAAATTGGGCCCTCGAGTAACAAGATTACTTGCAGAACTAAAAGCTTGACTGAAGTCACTGAACATTTTCTGATCTAGAAAGTTCTGTTAGCCAACCCCATGGCAGTCTAACAAACCACGTGGTTCATCTTCAAGATAAAAAGACAAGACTTGATTACTGGCAAGGTACGTACCATTGGTTTCATTGAAAATAAATCAAGTCTAAGCTTGAAAAGCGCATGATTTACAGCAGAAATTGATTAGAAATCAATGACAATGGAAAGTCACGACCAGTGAGACCCTCAAACTGTTTGAGTATTGATTTGCCGAAAGATTGAATCCAGTAGAGCAGAATTGACATCTAAAAGTAATCAAAAGCAATTGGAGCCAAAATGAATTTGACCATTTTTGTGGAAGGCTGGCCATCAAACTCCATAAACAGCGAGCCTAATTTAATTAGCTTTCCCTAACCCCACTGTTGGTCCCACCCAATATGACTTCTTCCTCATCATCTGAAGGCCAAACTTCATCTCAAATATGTTACCTCGGAATGGGTTGAGCAGACTGTTGGCCCTTCTCATAATTTGATTTCTGAGGCTATTATATAAGTCCCTCTTTTCTAATTGTAGGGTGGAGCTTAGAATCTGAAAAAGATGAGAGAGAGAGAGAATGTTAAAAAAGTAATTTTTAATGTACTATTTACTTTGAAGAATGCCTTGATCACTCTTATTATTACAGGAAGTTAGTATGGACCAACAGGGAGAGCCCTGTGAGCTGTGAACAGCACAGGCTGTTGAACGTAGACAGCCAAATTTTGTTTCTTTATTATGAGGACAATTGTTAATTTATTACACAAGTTTATAAAAAGAATCAATTATTATATTAATAAGTAAAAGACGGCTATAATCGGTGAGAGGTTAGTGAAACTGTGACTGGAATGGGAACAGAGGTGGGTACATATGAGGCCTGGTGGCTATACCATTGAAGAGCAGGCAGGTTTGATTAATTTCGCGTATATGCGTGCTTTTGGAGTGATGCTGAGCGACCATATCAAGTTTCAGGTCTTTGACAAATTCGAAACAATGAAGTAGCTACCTCACATGGCTGAGGTCAAACCAACCCTTGCCAAAGATAAGTTCACAACATATTTGATAATAGGTTTCACCGTTGCAGGGTTGCAGCCCATGCATTGCATGGAGATGCAGTTGTTCAGCAAGAGTTGGCTTAGGAATGGCAACAGGGTGGGGCAGGCCCTGTTGGGGACGGATCAAATTGCCATAATGTCGTGATTTCAATTCCTCCATATTTGAGTTTTCATCCTCTCTTATTAAACACGACAATTATCTTTTTATAGTTGAGACTTTGAATTTCAATTCAAGAATGTGACGCTATGAAGTAAAAGGCAATTATCCGATGTTGGTCCCAGCTCTTAGGGGTTTTGGGAGGGGTAGACTGGACAGAGATAGACCGGCCCTCACAGCTTTAGAGTTGGTCTACTCAGCCCAACTAAGTATGTGTTTGGTTCCGTGGGCGTTTATGGATAACGCGCTTATTTGCACTTTTTCACTTTAAATGTTATTTATACTTTTTCACTTTAAACTTTTTTTTAATTTAAATGTTTCCTGTTTTTGTTGTTTGGTTGAACTTCACTTTAAACGTTTTTTACTCTCCACTTTAGATTAATACTCATTAAAGTGTACCACATCAGCATTTGGTTTCAAGAAACGCTGGGGCCTTGGGGGAAACAAGAATTTGACATTTCCCCAAATGCCCTATGCACAAAAATCAAAATGTTTCAGTTTTCTACCATTTATTTGATAAACGGTGAAACCAAACAATTGTTTCATTTTCCTTCAATCCCATGATAGGCGGCAACTCATGGGATAAGGATAATTCCAAGATCCAAGATCCAAGATTCAAGATAATTCAAGATAATCCCAAGAAGAAAGGATAATCCATGCATGGATCGATCCAGGGAAATCGGACGGTGGAGATCGAGGCAACCTCCAAGAAGACTTCGATCCTAGCTAGAAGATTAGTTGTTTAGATCACTTACAATTTTCTTTCCTAGTTGCTCTACAATTTTCCAGATGTATTATAAATACAGTTATTTCCAAGCTAATAGACATTCAAGTTTTTTGCCAACTTTTCTCTCTCCTAAGAGATTCACGTATAGTTCTCTTCGGCTTCACGGCGAAGTCTTGCGTTCGCCCGGTGCTTGCATTGCCAGCCCGCTTTTCATTGCTTCTACGCTGCATCAAATACTTTATGGCATAATTGAATGATATCAACATGTTCCAGTTTTCTTTTCCTATCTTACACATACAAGACCATAAGAACACCAACTAAATGCATATAGCAAAAATATTTAAAAAAAAAAAGAAACCAAGAGCCTCTCACCTACCGTCTGGTTGATGAGGACCTACAGCAAATCTCCACATTACTACTGATCTTCAGTCTTTTGACTTCCCCCTAGCAATTGCTTCCACACTGTTGAATATCTGGGCCAGTCACCCTAGTGGTAAAGGGATCAATCCGTACCCATAACAATGAGAAGATGGAAGCAAGCAGAATTGACCACATAACCACAATAGTGGGAGTTCGGTTCTGTCGTCCCATTAGTCCTTTAAGGAAGGGATATAGATGGACAATCACCCAAAAGGCAAAAAACAGTTTCCCAAATAGGGGACCCCATGACTGGTACCCACTGTTGATTGCATATGATATCCCAGCCACCACTCCCACCAAATTTATGATGAGAAGTGTTGTTGGTGGGATGAGCAAGGTTGTCCATTTGAACATGTAGAGCTCTGCAAAATCACCCTCCTCATCTGATGCCTTGGAGGTGACAGTGAAGTTGGTATCAATCCCAGCTAGAACTTTGAGCAGGCCTTGGAAGGCAGCAAAGAGATGGCTTGACACCCCTCCTATAACCCAAAACTGTTCATTCCTCCACCATTCATCAATGCCAACACCACCCCATCTCATCTCCAATATACCAGTGGCAAAGATTGAAAGGAAGAGGGATATAAACCAAATACTAGCAAAGTTACTAATCTGAAATGAAAAGAAGCCAAGTTTATAAGTTTCAGTGATATTCAACCCACTTGAGACCAGAATGCTGAAAACTAGAAAATAATATATTCAGAGTGAGGAGGAAAGTCATAACTACCTGTGGAATGATAAATTTTCCAGTAAGCAGACAGACAACTGGCAATGTACAATATGAAAGAAGAGGAATAGCTGTTACTGAGTAAATGGTGGTATTGATGTATGCAAATCTCTCTAGCCATTTCAGCCTTCCACTGTAACCATACCATATGGGGCAATGTCGACTTAGAAGAATTTCAACAGAACCAAGAGCCCACCGAAACACTTGGTTCAGACAATCAGAGAGGTTAATAGGAGCAGACCCTTTGAAGGCTGGTGGATTTGGCATGCAGTAGATTGATCGCCAACCACGAGCACGCATCTTCAATCCTGTAAGGATATCTTCAGTAACAGAGCCATAAATCCATCCTATCTGCAAAGAGAGGAAAAGAGAAACAATAAAGAAAATGCCAATGCTTCCAACCAAAAATTAAGACCAAGTTGATCAGTGGCACTAAATTTCACTACTTCAAGTTTGAAAATTATGTAATTTAAATGCTATATAGAAGTTTTGACCATGATACCGAAAAAACTTGTAACCAATCAACTGGTATCACAAAAGTAGTAACTAGAGGGTTGATTGGTCAAAGCTCTTCAGGTATCATGTCTTTCCAGAAGCATAGATTTTTCCTTAGAAGTTTCTTATTCTTTTTGTTGCTCGTTGTAGAGCATGAAGGATTAGGAAGTTAGAAGACTATCCACCACTAGAAAACATATTGTGGTTTTTCTATGTTTAATAGAACCCAAAAGAAACTGTTCTAGTTAAACATAAATGGATTTGACTTTTAAGGCATGATCATAAATAGCTAATACAAAAAAAAAAATCCCTTGGAAAATCCATGAAGATAATAAAGTATATTTTAATTTTTTTTCCCATAAAAAAATGCCAGAATACTTGCTACTTTAGTTAGGCTATATGCAAACTAGCCATGCTAGTTCAGTTCATTTATCGGCTGAATTCAAAACAAGCTTCTTTGGACCTTTATATCATAATACTTCCATTAATTATTAGACTCAACTCAATAATACTTAGACTGCTAATTTCTTTTTCTTCTGATGAGTTTGATTTGTTGGCTTTGGATGTGCACTTTCAACATTTGAAAAAGAACAGGCCTAGTAAGGAATGAAGGTCCAAAATGCTAAAGGAGGAGGCAAGATGGTTGGGCCTCAAGATGCAAGTTGTAAACCTCAAGGCATTTTGAGGCATAAAACTCAAATAAATTATAAATATAATTTGTATTAAGGAGATACTTGGCATTATTTCATTTGAATTATGGATCATATGAAGCAAAGAAAGAAATATTTGAGATTTGCGAGTGATGGGACCCACTACAAAGCTTTCAATCCAATCAGGTGACCATTGCTCCTGTGACACATTTCCAAAGCCCCCTCCTCTAACCAAAAGAATTAGTATCATGGATGAGAAAAGTTGTCTGAGATGCTTCTAGCATATTTGTTAACCTTGTAAGGTCATTTTTGTATTTGATATAAAGAAAAAAAATATCTTTCAATCTTTTTTTTTTTTG